TACTCTGAGGGGAGTCCAATTGAATGGCAAAATATAGACTAGAAAACAGATTGATATGGGGGTTTTCAAAAACTTGAGTCTGACAGGAAAGATGGGTTAACAATGTTCTCCAGAAACCCAGTAGGTAACTAGGGACAAGAAAGAAATTTTGAGGCAATGAAAAGCTACAAGAAGGCAAACCCTGCACCTGTCTTTTTCTCACAGGTGACTGGATTTAGAAGTCATTTGTACAACATCATTAAGTGCATGTACTGAAGACACAAATGTACTCAGATGAGATGAAGGGGGAAATCAAACTGTCAAGGACCAAAGGAATTTGCTGCTCCCCTCATCCACCAGCTATGGGTCGATTCTGACACAATGGCACACAGCAACAACACTATCCCACCATCAATAGTTTTCTGCTTCACAAGCATATGGCTCCATGAATATGACTCAAACATTCAAAACTCGAGCACATTGCTTTTCACTAGAAATGGGACAATAAATAACTCATGGCCAGGAGTTATATAAGTTGATGAGTGCTGAGTCAAAGCAATGTTCTAACTAACAAGTGCCAAGTGTAATTGGTTTCTGGCTGCAGAATAAACTCTTATTATTAACTGGAAATGCACTTTCCTTACTGTATCCACTATGAGGCAAGCCAGTCTGTGAGTCAAAATAACTGAATGGGTTAAAACCTGGTGAAGAAATAAGAAGAGGTGCAATACTGAATGGTTGCTCCTCAGAAAGGAAAGCGGGAGAGGTCGATATAATGGTTTTTAAATACATTCATTCATAATTTGAGGAAGGAAGTGGAGTGCAAGTTGGTGTATGATGAAATATTGTTCCAGTTACTAAACATTATGAAGAAATGAGCGGAACTTTAGATGAATTGAAAACACCATGAAAGGGCATTATGGGGAATAAGGAGTAACAGCTTTCTTACAGTTGTGCTGGGAATCCATGATACCATTGCTTTTAGGTACCATCAAGTCAGAACCAACTCATAGGTGACCCTCCAGCAGGTTTTCAAGGGCAGTAAATCACACAGGAGAGACTGTCCATCTTTCTTACTCAGAGCAGCTGGTGGAACTCTGTGCCTCTGGTTGACTGTACAGCTCCTTACCTGTAAGCCACCAGAACTTCCTAAATGACACCGTGTGGTTGTTGCTTGCCATCAAGTTAGAACCAACCCATACATAGGTGACCCTCCAGCAGGTTTTCAGAGGCAGTAAATCACATAGGAGATTACCCGTCCTTCTAGTAGACTTTATAAAATTTCATTTCTTAAATGTTTTAATTAATGAAACATTGACTTTTTAAAAAGATCTCTGCAAAGTAGGCCAGTGTGGGTAATAAAATATGAATATACTTAAATGTTTGTTCAGGTTTAGAACAATCAGAAGTGATTCAGAATGAAAAAAGAACCCACTTCTGTTCTGGGTTTAGCAAAACATTGAATAATTCTAAAATCTCCAACAGGAATACTGGGAAGGGGGAAAAGGTGGAAATGTCACTTCATATGAAATTGTTTTTATATCTTTAATAACAATTTATTAACAGTATTATGTGTTTGGGATTAAGTCAATGGCAGCAAAAAGGAAATTAGAAGAATTTGGTACATATACTGGCATTTTAAAGATAGGAATACACCTCAGAAATGACTTTTCATTTCAAATGGTAGCATGTTCTTAGAGTTTCTATTCCTATTTTAGGAATGTGGACAGGTGTGATAATGACTAATAAGCACACAGCAGAATTTTGAAGAAGAAAAACTTCCAAATGTAGCATGGAAGAAGTGAGTTAATATGATCCAACCCATTCCTTCAAGAATTATGTATTGAGAGAATTTTTATAAACTGTATCTAGGAGATAGCACAAGTATAGTAATGATATACATAATGGCAAATAGAAAGTAATCAATATTGCAAAACGATGCAAATGAAAATTTCTGTGAAATGATTGAGGCAGCACTTGTGCAGGCAGGAGGGTAGGTCAAACCTAGCAGACTGATTACTGAGAAAAGTGGCTGAGTAAGACTGGAGATAAGAGGGACAAGGTGGCTTGGGTCCAACCTCAACTCTGAACTCTTAAGCTAAGGAATGTGAACTTTATTCTTCCATCATTTCTAACACTGCTTATTACAAGCACTGTGCTTACATACTGGCTGGGGGGATGAATGAAGCCATTGATTTTTTTTTTAAATCAGGCAACTGACAAGCTCTAAACGTTGCTTCAGGAAGATTAATATAAGTAGTGTGTAGGGGGAATGGGATAGATGGGAGCCTTTTTGTAAGGTTTTCTACTAAGGAGTGGCATCCACTTCCGAAATGGCTTGCCTCCGGAAACTCTATGAACAGTGCTCATGCCTTTCGTTCATAGGGTCGCTATGAGTCGTCTACAACTCAACGGCACCTAACAATAATAACAACGACAACATAGAGAGAGCTACATTGGCCTAGTGGACAGAAAGTTATGCTACTAAGCCCAAAGTGAGTGATTTTAATCTGCAGCTCTCAGGCCTGGTTCAAATTGTGTTGTTGTGTTTTTTTTGTCAAACATTCTTCTAGGTGGTGTAGCACTGGTCTGTGCATTGTTGTACAGAGGTAACTCATGGCTACTGCGATGCTAAACACTGTGACACTGATATGCCAAATGGGATAATGGTTACCCATGGCGGACAGTGTTTGGTGGAGCTTCCTGACTAAAACAAGCTTGGAAGCAGGAGTGGCATCCACTTCCGAAATGGCTTGCCTCTGGAAACTCTATGAACAGTGCTAACGCCTTTCATTCATAGGGTCGCTATGAGTTGCCTATGACTCGAGGGCACCTAACAACAACAACTAAGAACATTTAGTAAATGACATCGAGTTAATCCTAATACATGTCTAGAGTCCACTAGAGGTCTCATACAGGGCTATCACTAATAATTTAATAGTAGTAACAACCCTTTGAAGAAGGAAAAGTGAGAACAGTATTTCCATTTTTGTACTAAGAAAACTGGCTCAGAAAGTCAACATACTCATGTTGCACACATTAAATGAGTAGAATCAGACTTCAATCCAAGTCTGTCTGTCTTCTAAGAGGTTTTGTGGGTTTTGACCTGTAACATGTAGGTGCTCCTCAAATGAAGACTCTTCTAACAAGGAAGTAACAGGGGATAGACAAAAGGGAGAAGAGCAGAGTTAGAAGGATGTGGCAACTCAAATCCGCCTTCTGTAACTTTGATAACATGGGGTTATTTCAAAAAGAAGATTCCAAAAAGAAGACAGAGAACTGTGTTTTGGATTGATGATTTGAAATGACAACAAAACATCTAAGTAAGAGGAGCTATGCCCACTTTCTCAGATACATGCTAAAAAAAAAAAATCATAGGGGTAAGGGACACCCCTAAAACATACAATCCTTAGTGCCCACTGTTGAGTTTTTGCCCAGATTACTTTTTCTTGCTTAGCCCACTTCTGACTCTGCATTTACTCTCCCCTGCCCCTGGCTTTAGGTATCCTTCAGGTTTCAGATGCATTTCTCTGGGAAGGTGTTCCCTGGGATTCCGGGGAGGAAGTCTGGGTTAGGGGCCCTCCTTGGGACCCTACCCTTGTGTTTCTCCAGCTGAATTCTTCTCTCCTAGTGTCTCTGTTCTTATATGTGCCTCTCCCTAACCAGGCAGAGCCGCTGAAAGGTTTCCAGGTTTTCCTTGTTTGACCCTTGCGTAGTCTCTGAAGCTACCACATGTGCTCCTCAGCTAAAATTGGTTGACTAACTGATTGACTGATTCCTATTGCTGTCCTGGAAAGGAACTACCCTGCCCTATTAAATCACAGTTTCTTCCTTCTTAGGGCAGCTCAGCAACCAGGAAATCATCTTCCTCGTTGCATACCTCGGTGTTATTCATGCAGTTTACTCATTGTCAAGAGTTCCTTTGAATAAGCCTAGCAATTACTTGAAGGTTTATGAAGTTTCCAGTGTCAAGAAAACTTTTTAATAAGCCCATAGAGGGGGTGGAGGGAGTGAGTGTGGGGGTAAAGGTGGGGGAGAGGAGTAGTGGGAGAGGGAATTTTCCTCTATCTGTTTCCGAAATATACAAGTACTGGTATGGCAGCCTTTGGATTATGTCTATGAGGGCATTTTAGGCGCTCCATTCATGATAGAATTAACGACGATGACCCTTTTTAAAAATCCATGTTTGTAAAGCAAACACAATGGTCTTAGCAGAAGGGGTTGTTTATGTGGTGTGTGACTTGGGCATGTGTGTATTATTATCAAGGGAGCCTCCAAGTCCCTGCCTTCTGAATAAGGAAATTATAAGATCCATGTAACTGTCAATTCCTTTCTATTTTCTTTCCACAAAGAGCGCGGTAGGAAGGCTTCGAATATTCCAGAGTTAGATGTGGATTCTGCTCCGCAGTGAGAGCACAAGTTCCAAGAAAATCTGGAGATCCTAAGAGTCTGGTTTTTCTCCTTGTGTGCTTTCAAGGACTGAAAGGCCACATGGGCAGGGCTTGGACTTTTTTTTTTTTATTTTAATGAAAGTTTACAGAGACTTTGGATTTCCATTCATACATTGTTGCACACTTTCCTCCCTACCCACCCCTCCTCTCAGTTCGTTCTTCTTGAAGAGAAAAAAAAATTCTTTCATTGTTATACAATCCTCCCCCCACCCCCAAGTCCACTTTACTATGCAGCTCTTATTCTGGACTCTTGTTATGAAAATAATGCCTAATCATATATTCCTTTTAAACAGGTCTCTCCCTCGTGGGAACCTCACCAGCCTCCCAGAAGTCCGGATTTAGGAGGAGCGGGGGCGGCGACCAGAAGACCCGGGTGGGGCGGGGACCGGGCCGGGAGTGCGGCCGGGGGAGGGACAAGGAACGCGCCCTGAGGGAGGAGCCAGGGGTTAGGCGGGGCGTTCTGGGGCGGAGCCAGGAGTGGGGCGTGCCATGTTAGGGGGCGGAGTCAGGAGTAGGGCCCGCGGGGTTTAGGCAGTGTGTGGGCTCCGCCTCGCCCGGCTACGCAGGCGGCGGGGCTGCGGCACAGGCTGGGCGGCAGCATGGCGGCGGCGGCTGCTGTTGCTGCTGCGGCTTCTTCCGAGGAGCCGGCACCGAGTGCGACGGCAGAACCTGAGGCCATAGACGAAGACAATCGCGACGTCCGAGTGCTTCAGAGCTTGCGGGGCAAGATCTGTAAGCAGGGGTCGGGTGGAGAGACCGCAGGGCGGCCGCGGCGGGCTCGGGACCGAGGGGGCAGCGGGCGGGCGCGGGGGTGGCCGCCCGGAGCGGCCGGGATCGCCAGGCAGGACACAGGCCGGGGTTGGGCGAGGCGCGCGGGGAGGCTGGGCCGCCGGAGCCGTAAGGGGGGTGTGTTGTGGGAGGCGTCGCCTCGATGGGACGGGGCGGCGTGGACGGCGGTGTCCCTCCCCAGAGCGAGCGGAGGTTTCGGGGGTTTGGCTGGGGCCGGGGGCGCGCACAGGCCTCCTGGCGGCCGCGGGCGCCGGGAGCGGCTCGGAGGTGAGAGCCCGGTGGTAATTACGCGAGGAGGCGGCGGCGGCGTGCAGGCGAGCGGGACGGCGTCTGCTCCAGCGCGCAGGACCCCACGAGGCAGTAGGAGGGATCGGGCGGGCGTGGGGCTGGCGTGTGTGGCACGCGGGGCGCGGCCGGACACCTGCGCCCGCCACACCTCGGCGCGCATGGAGAGGCAGCCCGGCGGCCAGGGACTCGAGGCAGGATGAAGTGGCTTCCTGTCAGCAGGTCTCAGACACACTCATTCAACCCTCACTTAACCCACTTAATGCCTTTTCTTTTCATGCATTTGTTACTTTTGTGACGGAGCCGCGTTCGTTGACTAAAGGCAATTTGCTCAGAATCACTCGGAGCATTATTATCAGCAGGCCATTTAAGTTCAGTTTGGGCATTCAAAGGAAACAATAACACACCCTTTGGCCTTAAGTTTTAAAAAGCAGTTGATTTATTTTTTCTGTTTGTAAGATACATTTCTAAAACATTTGTTGTAGACTTTTATTTAGTGTCCTCAAGTTGTAATCTTACTTGATATTCCACACATATACATCCATATGACACATTTGGCATATAATACACTTTTCTCCTTTTTCTTTTAAAGCTGCACCAGAAGCACACTTAACATCCACATTTCTAGCAACAAAACAACAACAAAAAAGAAACTTTTTGCTTTTCCTATGTGTAATAAATTGGGAGCTCTGGTAGCCTAGTGGCAAGAAGCTGCGTTGCAGTCCCACAGGCACGTGGTTTGAGGCCACCAGCTGCTCCGTGGGAGGATAGGCAATCTCCTCCCGTACGATTGATTAACTGCCTCTGAAAACCCGATAGAGGGTCTGCTTTGGGTCGGTTCTGACTCGATGGTACACAACAACAAAACATGCAGTAATTCCTATTTAATGTTTCTTGTAAACAACCCTTAGTAATGAGAGCATAGTTGCGCTTTGGAGAAAACGATACTGCGTTAAAATAACACTTCTCTTGCTTGTCTTGGATATAAAATTTTTCTCTCTTTCGATAGTGAGATATACGATTGCGTTTGGATTTTCCTGCTTTTCTTCTTTTGTGTTAACTTGCACTTTTTGATTATATTAGTTTATTTTTACAAAATTTGAATACCTTGTTTTTCCACACCAGATTCTTCCAATTTCCCTCTCAGATCTTGTTGTTCATAGGGTCTCTATGAGTTGTAGCTAGCTCAGTGACACTCAACAACAATAATAGTAAAAGCCTAGCTTTTCTTGAAGAGATCGTTGGTAGAATTATGGGTTGGATTATGAAGTGTCAAAGGCAGTTAGACGAGGGCTTAGAAGGAAGTGAAGTGAGCCATAGACAGCGTCCCTCCTGGCTTGGAGAATACTAAGGTACCAGCAACAGAATGTTGCCAGAAATGTGGGTCTTAAGTGTGCTTCTGGGGAAGCTTTAAATGAAAATGATGAACATGTGATTGGACGGAGGGTAATGTGTTTTATGCAGTGGCAAAGAACTTGTCTGAATTACATTCAGATGTTTAGTGGAGAATAGAACAAGTAAATGATGAACTGTACCATGAGATTTCTAAGCAACATTTGGTTGCTCCTTGCCACGTACAGTACAGTCAACCAAGGACATTCATCCTGAAATTTTCACCAAGTATTTGACTCACCAATCTTTTATCCAAAATATTATAAGCCCATGACTGTTGATTTTGTTCAACTAAGAAAACTTAACAACTTAGATGAAAGGGACAGATAAAGAAAGGAGAGAACTCTGTTTTGTGAAATTTTTCAGGCAAAGAACAGGCCAAAGGAGCTCATGTGTTCTCTGAGAAAATTAAAGACATTCCCAGAGCAATTCTGTGATCCTAGAACTTCTGGAGGTTGTACAGGAAGCAGAGCTGCCTCAGTATCAAAATGGTTGGGGCCACAACCTCTGTGGTGTGTTATAGCCCTACCCTCTTAGATTTCAAAGTCAGATCTTAGCTCTCATTGTGTAGTTACCAGTCAGTTTGGCCACCAGATTGGAGCCACTGCCCAAAGCTAAGGAAGTGGGCCTGCCATTCCCAGTGAGGAATGGACTTTGCAGGGGTTGCTGTGTGCAGATGGACTCAGAATTGGACCATTTAAGTTAGCTTAGAAAACAGAGATGGAGCCCAAGACTTGGTGGCCTCCACTCAGTTCTGGGAGTGTGGTCAGCACTTGGCATCTGGAGGGCAGTACTGTTGCTAAAAGGGTCTCAGGGAGAAGAGATTTATTCCCAAGCCTTATGACTTAATTGTTCTACTAGATTTTTAATTTGGTGCCTGTTACCTCTTCTTTTTCTCAGATTTATAAAGGACATGTAGACCTTGTACCTGTTCCACCCTTGTATTTTGAAAGCTTTTTTTGTTATGTATGGTCGAGTCAGAACCCACTGGTTGTTGACTCTCCAGTAGTTTTCAGAGGCAATGAATTACGTAGAAGGGAATTTCTCCCGTGGAGCACTTGGTAGATTTCAAACCGTGTGCCTGTGGGAAGGCAGCCCTGCTGCTTGCCACTAGGCCTCCAGAGCACCTGCATTCTAGATTTCGTGGATTCTTAGATCGAGAGGAATTGTGCTCCAAGATCTAATATGTCTGTTATGTTTAATTTAGATAAGGTAGACTCAGAAGATAAGATTTTGGAAGTAATGTAAGACTTTGGGGATGAGATTTGGGGTGAATGTGTTTTGCATGTGGCAAGGTCCTGAATTTTGTGGAACCAAAGAATGAAATGTTAATGGCTTGAATTGTGTCCCCCAAAAGAGATACTGTAAATTCTGTGCCTGTAGTTATGATCTTATCTGGGGAATAGAGTGTCTTTGGTAGTGTTAATGAGAAAGGATTAGTGGAGGGTATGTCTTTAAAGTTGCTATCTTTTGAGATATAAGAGATAATAAACAGGCAAATGAAAGAGCAGAGTTAGGAAAAAGAGATGATCAAGCCACGGGAAGATCTTCCACGAGTAGAAACTGAAGGAGACAAGAGCTGTCTTTCCAGAACTAACCGAGAAAGCCTTCACCTAGTGCCAGCACCCTAACTAAAGACTGCTATCTTCCAAAATTGGGAGAAGAAATTTGTTTAAACCACTCACTTGCGATATTTTTTTCTGTCAGCACTAGATAGATAACTAAGACGCTGGGAAATGTTGTATTGGCAGATTCTGAGCAGCTGATTGAGAGGCTCTGATTTGGAGAAATAGAAATCCATAGGACTGAAAGGAAGTCTCCTTTTTTCTGAACTTCCTTCCCAATGCTGTTGCCTGCAAGTAGATTCTGACTTGGAGACTTCACAGGACAGAGTAGACCTGTAGACCGGGAGAGGTAGGCTTTCTAAGGCTGCAGTCCTAGAGTAGCAGACATCTGCCTTCTGAGTGGTAGCTGGTTGGTTTGAATTACAGACCTCTTGATTAGCAGCCAAGATTGGCTGACTGTGTCAATAGGGCTCCTTGCATTTGGAGATTGTTGTTAGGTGTCATGACTCACAGTGGCTCTGTGTAGAGAATGAAAACTGCTCTCTCCTGTGCCATCCTCAGAATCAGTGCTGTGTTTGAGGCCATTGTCCCAGTCGGTCCTTGAAGGACTTCCTCTCTGATCGCTGATGCTCAAATCCACCAGCCACTTCGAGGGAGAAAGATGGACAGTCCATTCCCGTGCAGTTTACCTCCTCTCACCGCCTGCTGGATGGTCAGCTGTGGATCTGTTCCGACTCGATGTTACACAACAACAGCAGCAGTGCCTTGACCAAGCATGGTGTCCTGGGATTCATCCCTCCTGACATGCCTAAGGGATGAGATGACACTTCAGTCTCCTTGCTTTATGCCCAAACTTCTTCCATGACAAATTAGTTTGTTTTGCAGTCAGCCAATAATGAATATTCTTCATCATCACCGTGATTCAAAGGCAGCAGATTTTCTTCATTCTTCCCTATTTATTGTCCAGTTCTCACAAGCATATGTAGTGATTGAAAGTATCGTGGTTCAGATTAGGTCTGTTTTAGTCCTCAAGCTAACAGCTTTGCTTTTTGGTACTTTATAGAAATAGCAGTGGCATAATTTCTCACATTAGAGCACCAGGCGTGTCACCACCATGTGGCAGACCTATAGATTTGGATAAACCATTCAAATCCAGATCATTCTAATAAAAATGGAGAATTTTATTTTTATGTGTCTTTAAAGTCCTACTACATGTTTTTCTTTAGACTTTTCAGTTTTTCCCATAGTCTTCATGAAACTGGCAGATTGGAAAAGCCTTTTAGTCCTTTTTGTCACGAACAACTAAGTGGAAATCTAATGTTAATGACAATATTGGACCTCCTTTTTTTTACAGTTTTATCATTTAATTTCATTACTAGCTATGAGTTTTCATCCACATTGACTGTAGATTTTTGAAAGGGGTGATTGGTACATAGGTAACCAGTGTATACAGCTTGTTTGGGGAATCTTCATCCTCATATTTACCGGGCAACCGTACATGGATGCAGAATGGGACATTCCTTATTCCTTTGGCCCAGATGGCATTGTTAAGCTTAGTATCAGTGTGAACATCTGATGTTCCATCTCCTTCATGGTAAATTTCTGGATCTCCTTGAGTGCCAGAGGGGCACATATTTCTTAAAGCCCAGTCCGTGGATGCACTTGTGAATGTTGATGGTGTGCTCTCTGGTCACCACGTTG